CTCTCGTCCATTAATTAATTAACATGTAGTAGGTTTATCGCAAAAAAAGACATTTCATTACTTTAAATAATTAATCACTTTGCGGAATCAGAAAATTGTGATCTTGTTGTAACTGTATATTAACGGATTTGAACCATTTTCATGCATTTGCAGTGCTTTTATATAGAAATATAAATTCGAAATTCACCAAAAGCATATTTGAAAATTAACCTATATCAAAAACACACTTCGTATATTTACAGTAAACGGCCGATATACATAAGTATACATTAATCATATTTATGAATATTAAAACAACAATGTGATTTGTTTTGTTGAATCTCAATATCCACAGAAAGTACATATTATTAACAGCCAAGAAACTAGTATTTTTAATTGGCACAATAATTGATACTACAAAATAATTGATGCTATTCCTCGAGAAGATTGGACACACCAACTTGCCCTATCCTTTCAAAATAAATGGAACAGTGAATGGGAAATAAGTTCGGCAAAACTTCAAGAAATAAAAAAAAAAAAATGTATAAAATGGAACACATCAAACCGAAAGTCTAGACGAGAAGAAGTGAAACTATGTCGCCTAAGAATCGGGCACTGTGAGTTTTCCCATGGATACCTTACACCTCTTACATCCCTATAAATTGCATATCGTTGTGTTCCTTGTAACTATTTATTTAAGAAAAGCCAATGTTCCCACAACAAAAAGTGAACGCACTGCCCCAAAATGGCTTCCAAAGATGGCGGATTGACGACTTTGACTTTAGTTAGTTTTTTGGTCCCTGAGAATCAGCATTTGGCTTAATTTCCTCATAGTTGGTCTTTTATTAAAGCTGAATAGTCATATAATAAGAAAATATGAAGAAATATTAAAAAATAATTGGCTTAGGCTATGAAAAACATCAGTAAAGTCAATTTTTTTAACAAAAAAAATTTCAAGTTACAAATCAAGCGTAGTTTGTAATTAAACGGCCTACAATAACGCAAAATGTGCTGAAATAAAACATCTGGTGAATATATTTCTCTTTCTAAAACGCTGATTATTTTTTTTTTAAATTAAGAAGTTCCGTAGAAAATGCACTTATGCGGCAGAAAAGCGGTACTGGCGTGGATGTTTACTGGCCTCTACCACACCATTCAGTACACATAAATGTCTTAGTTATAGTGATATAATAACATTTTTGGTACATTATATTGGTTGTATTAACGATCAAATATTAATGCAATAATTTAATTGTAAAAAAAAAATGTATTATTATTTTTTTTTTAATTTAACCTCCTTTATTCTATATGTAGGTCGTTTAAGAAGACCTCAATTGTAAAAATGATATAATTATAATAATAAAACCTAATTAAAAAATACTTTGCTAAATATCTTGATTTTTTTTTATTTAACGTTTGCAATTTAACACCATGTTTTGTATACTTACTGATTCTTGGAGGTAATTAAAATTTTTATATACTTCCCAGAAAATGAGTCATATTAATACCTGTTTTATAAACTAAAATAATATATTCCTAATCTGAACTGTATATAATGAATAGCTACCGGGTTGTTTAGTAAAACTCATATATCACTAATTAAAAAATTAATTGTTATTTCCATTATTTTGTGCAGAAGTTGGACTATATCATAAATAAATAGGAAATTTTAATATTGAATGAATTATTCTCTATGCACAAAGGAAGATAGAAAGGGTGACGCTATAAGTTCTTCTATAAATCAGAACTGATTGTTTGGATTTGGTCTCAAAATGAGGAAAAACGCGAAATTGAACCAGAAAATTGGAAAAATACATTAAGCGAACGGGAAAGGAAGTGCCAAAACCTCGGAAAAGATAAAAAGGACCAGTATCCATTATATAGCTAAATGAATGTATAGTATGAACAGATGAACAGAATATTTCAAGATCCTGCGAAAAGGGGGTCAATTGCAGTTTGGATGATATTATGTGGACGATATAGGTTTATTATGGCGAAAACAACTTATTTTCGATTGCTGAAGGTGCACATCGGGACTATCTTAACTTTGAAGCAGGATATAGAGAGGTATATTGAGAAAGTTATAGCTCATAGCTAGTGCATTTGCAAAAGATTTTTTAAGGAATCTAAAAGGAAAACGAGCTTTTCTGAAAGACAATTAGATATTAACATAATCCAAAGTGTGAGGCACTAAGCAGATAGAGAGCTATTTTTCTTTTTATATGGACTTCTCTATAACCTTAAAAAATCTTTTGCAAATGCGCTAAACAGAAGGAGAGCTATGAGCTATAAATTTCTCAATATACCTCTCTATATCCTGCTTCAAAGTGAAGATAGTCCCGATGTGCACCTTCAGAAATTGAAAATAAAGTTGTTTTCGCCATACAAAACCTATATCGTCCACTTAATATCATCCGAACTGCAATTGACCCCCATTTAGCAGCATCTTGAAATATTTTGTTCATCTGTCTACTATACCTACATTTAGCTATATAATGGATATTGGTCCTTTTTATCTTTACCGAGGTTTTGGCACTTCCTTTCCCGTTCGCTTAATGTATTTCTCCAATTTTCTGGTTCAATTTAGCGTTTTTCCTCATGTTGAGACCAAATCCAAACAATCAGTTCTGATTTATAGAAGAACTTATAGCGTCAGCCTTCCTATTTTTCTTTGTGCATAGAGAATAATTCATTCAATATTAAAATTCCTTATTTATTCATGATATAGTCCAACTTCTGCACAAAATAATGGAAATAACAATTAATTTTTTAATTAGTGATATATGAGTTTTACTAAACAACCCGGTAGCTATTCATTATATATAGTTCAGATTAGGTATATATTATTTTAGTTTATATAACAGGTATTAATATGACTCATTAAAAAAAAATCAAGATAGCAAAGTATTTTTTAATTAAGTTTTATTATTATAATTATATCATTTTTACAATTGAGGTCTTCTTAAACGACCTACATATAGAATAAAGGAGGTTAAATTAAATTTGTAACTTGAAAATTTTGTTGTTAAAAAAATTGACTTTACTGGTGTTTTTCATAGCCTAAGCCAATTATTTTTTAATATTTCTTCATATTTTATTATTCTATGACTATTCAGCATTAATAAAAGACCAACTATGAGGAAATTAAGCCAAATGCTAATTCTCAGTGACCAAAAAACTAACTAAAGTCAAAGTCGTCAATCCGCCATCTTTGGACGCCATTTTGGGGCAGTACGTTCACTTTTTGCTGTGGGAACATTGTCTTTTTTTTAATAAATAATTACAAGGAACACAACGATATGCAATTTATAGGGATGTGGTGGGGAGGGGAGAGTGTACGGTAAGGGGTCTGGCCCACAGACTACCTCTTGCGAGGATTAGAAGTTCCAACTTGCACACATTGCCTAGTACCCAGAACAGTAAAGCATAGCATTAGAATGTAGAAGGTACTCTAATATAAGGAAAAAATTTCAAATGGGAACGGAAATGAAAGAAATTCTGCAAGATGGGGAAAATGAAATAGGAGAACTGTTCAAATATTTGAAGGATATTCACTTTTATCAACGAATATAAAATGGAAACATTAAGCCTATGACCCTTAGGGGTAGAAGCTAAGTAAACAAATAAACACAAAAATTAAATTTTTTTCCGAGTGAGAGTAAGTTAAGTAAATTATTTGGAACATTAATTTTAAAATAATTATTATAGAATGGTTTTTATAGAAAATATTATATGTTTCCACTATTTAATTCATATTAATATTTTTTTCTTTGTTATTGCTTACATTATTCAGGTTCTGTATGATATAATTTGCATTAATTCAAGAAATACTGTCATATTTACTATCTATTTTTTTAAATTTGATTGAATATTATATACCATTAAAATTTAATATATTTTTATATAAAAAATATATTTTTGAAGTAGTGTTGTATGTATATTTTCTAACTTTATATATGCGTTCAGTTTTTTAGTAATTGTTCTTACTTAAATTACCGAATGTTTATATTTCTGTTATATATTTTTTTCTCTTGAAATATAAATCAATTAAATTATGTCTTTACGGTTTTTATATTTAATTATATTTACCCATTATAAATTAATTAATAAATTCATCAATTTATGAATTCATGAAATCTAATTTTATTTACCTTTTATGCCAATTTTGGATTTTTATAGTAAACTAATCAATATATAAATATTTCTCTTGAAATATATGTAGGGAATTTTAATATTTATACAATAAATAAAAATATATTAGAGCAGTGGAGTACCGATAAGGCCCAACTGTGACAGCGGAACGGTGGAGCAGTCTAGTACCGGATAAGGCCCAACAGTGACAGTCACAGGTACGGAACAGCCAGTGTAAAAGGGTTTTTATCTATTGCCAAGTATCAAATTGTTTAAAAAAATATTTCTATGGAATGAATTGATTATGAAAATGAATAAATAATAATCAAGCAAATACAATTTTAATTAAAATTAAAAATACTAGTTTCTTGACTGTTAGTAATATATATTTTCTGTGAATATTGATATGCAACAAAACAAATTACATTGTTGTTTTAATATTCACAAATACGATTAATGTATACTTATATATATCGGCGGTTTATTGTAAATATAGAAAGTGCATTTTTCATCTAGGTTAATTTTCAAATATGCTTTTGGTGAATTTCGAATTTATATTTCTATATAAAATCACTGCAAATGTATGAAAATGACACAAATCCGTTTATGTATTTCAAACACAGTTACAAGGTCACAATTTTCTGATTTCATAAAGGGATTAATTATTAAAAGTAAAGAAATATCTTTTTTGCGATAAACCTACTACTTATTAATTAATTAATGGACAATAGGACTGTTGGTTAATAAATATAATATATAACATATTAATATATTCATAAATTAAATAAGGAAATGGATAGACTTTTGTCACTGTCACTGGACCGATAAGGTCCAAGGGAGTGGAACCGGTTGTAGCTGTTCCAAACCCATACTCTGTTACACGTCACTGCTCCACCAGTACCATCACATCCCTAAGTGCTAATACCCCATCCACATAACATAGGTTGCGGTATTTTGCCTCGTTTTGCCTGTAGTGTGGGGCCAGGGTTACATGTTACGTTGAAATTGTTGTAGTTTTATTTAACAGAATATTTTTATAATGACAGAAGAAGATTCGGTGAGTTGTTTTTTTGGAATAATGTGAAATTAAATAGGAAGAGCACATGTTGATCTGTGACATATTTGAAACATTTTCCCCCTATCTAATATTATTTTCGGTTAAGAATCACAATTAAAATTCAGTTTGCTATTTTTCGTGGATTAGTGTAAAGAGCAAGGAGTTTGGTTAACCAAATCTTGTGTTGTAGATATTAGATCCTACCATCAAGAAGAAGAAGAAGAAAAAGAAGGGAAATTTTGATATAGATGCAGTTTTAACAGATGTTGGTGATGGTTCAGAGAAAAAAACTTTTAATCTAGACGAACTAGAGAATGCTTTACCAGATGGAGGAGGTACTGGAAAGTCCAATGCTCCTAATGATGTTGCAGATGAAGGAGGGATTGAGGTTTGTTCTATTACATTCAGTGATTTTACTGTCAAAAATGTGAAGGTGTTTTAGTTGTTTATAATGAACAATTATTCAAGGTAGTTCAAGATAATTGATTAAAATGTTTATGTTCACATTTGGAAGATTCACTCTTCCCTTTGGCCTTTTTAATATTTTTGTAATCGTTCTTAAGTCTATTGATACAAAGTATCTGTGTATCTTAAGCCAGAAATGACCATTTTGATGGTAAATGAAAATGATCACTACTTCAACCTTAATGTATCTCAGATTTCTTCATTTGACTTCAACTATAATTCTGTACTCCAGAGTTAAAGGACACAATGTCCATTTTTTAATTAAATAATTTAATAACTAAGAAACAAATTTAATAGCTCAACGTTATGGAAAATTGGCTTTCCAATCTACAAAAATATGACATAGTGTCCTTTACTTCTGAGATATAGATTTAGTAACTAAAAAAGTAATTCAAATAGCTCAAAGCTATGGAAAATTGGCTTCCCTGAACAAATACATAAACGAGCGTGGTTTTCTTTACCTTTGGGGTACAAAATTGCTATGTATATAAGTAGCAGTTTTATGTTATTAAATTGATGTTCTTCTTATATCTTGTCAACTTCAATCTTGTCAATATGTATTCAATATATCTTGTCAAAGAGCCTATTAAGTAAACAGAGGTTTTTAATGATTAATATTTGCTGTTTAAGTATAAATTGATTTTCCAAAATATTCAGATTATTATCTGGGTGCTATTATTTATAATGCTTTTTTATTAAGCAAATATGTCCATTAACCTTATATTGTTATTCTTTTATGTTATTACGATTTGGTGACAGGTCTTATCTCCTTAATTATTTTGTTAGCTTTTAGTACTCTTTATCTACTTAAGATTTCTGCCTTGGTGCTGAATAATTGTTCTGTGCTTATTACCCTATAATTCTTTCTAAACTTATTTTTAGTCCACCTTATTTTTACGATCTGGTCTTTGTTCAGTTTCCTGTAAATATCTCAAAGCCTTCAAATAATCATTGTTTTCAGTAAGCCTCTCATTGCGCAATTGAAAAATCTTCGTTTTTTAAAATTTCTCTTGTTTTAGGGGTCATTAATTGGTTGAAATTGGTCTCATTGTGACTTTTTAATAATAAATCTTGATATTCTTGTACCCAGAATGATTCCTACAATGGCAACTGGGACTATGTTGTATTAGCTGCTGGTCCTGAGTATTCAGTTTGGTATATTTTCTAATATTCTCTTGTGGATTTCTTGTCAGACGATTCATTATTTGATCTATACATTAATCACTCATCTATTAAATCTTTTTCCTTTTGGAATTATTCGATAGTAAAAACTTGTTAACTTAAAGATTTGATAAAAGTCGGCTTGTAGGCTTCTATGGACTGCTGTCTGCAGTTATCTTGTTATTTATTTCTTATTATACGAGAGTCTAATTTCATATGAAGATAGCGATTATCAGTGTTGAGGTTATAAACATTTAATAATGAGAAATATAAATAACAACAACACTTTAAATAACAAGATAACTGTAGATAGCAGTCCATAGCGTTGCTCACAAGTACCAAAAATAGTACCGAATATATAAATTACTTTATGCTACTCAAAGATGGTGATTGATTTCACAATCTCATTAAGTATACCATAGATAGAATCCTGAAACTGCCCGAGTGTTTCCTAAAGTAGATTTAGGTTATTAACTAGTATGTTATCAATCCTCTACTCTTTCTAGTAAATTAAAACTGAATGTTTATGTCAGATTAGGTCTGCCCTTGTTTTTATTATGTCAACGTCTTGCCATATATAAACAATAGCATCAAAATGTTTGTCAACTGACATCAAAATGTTTGTCAAATTTTTCGCTTCTTTCTAGAAAACAATCTATTGAGTTAGTCCTCAGGAGTAATTGTCGAAATATGAGATTTTTTTTAGATTGTTATGTACCTTATCTTTTATTACTTACAATAGTATAATTTAAAGAATGTTAAAGGTTTCATTTTTTTAACAGTAATATAGATCATAAAAATAAAATGGTTGATAACTGAAACATGGTGTATTTAACTTATATTTTTAAGGTCTAAAATACTAGAAGTATCCAAATAAACATAATTTTTATATTTCCTGACCATGAAAATCATTATCTAGTGGTCAGTATATGAACATGATTGTCAATACTCTACAACTTTAATATTTCTCAGGTTTCTTTTTACCATATGCTCAATATGATCTTGTGGGGTCAGCCTATTCTCAATAAGCCACATGGTTGATATTACAATACAGTAGATTCCCCTTATCGGGCCTCCTTGGATCCGTGACATTGTCGGTTAAGGGCGAAAGCCAGTTAATACAGAAGGTATAAAATAAAATAAAAAACTCCAAAAATATTTCAACTTCTTTATTGTAGAATAATCTTAAACATTTTATCTTTCAATGACTCAACAACTCTTCGTCTTTTTTCACTAATTTTGTCAGGCTAGTTAATTGAACGAAACATGTAACACAATTGAAAAGAAAAACATACACAAACAAAAACCTCTACTAAAACTTTTCCAAGAAAATGTGTGATGTTAAATAGATTTTATTTATTTATTTATTTTTTGCGATATTTATGCAGTATTTCTTTTTTTCGTTTTTCTATGGAATAAATGAATGATAAGGATTTTGTTTGAAGAATCAATTTTACTTCGAATAGATGTGTTTTATCGAGGTTCGGTCAATTGTAAAAAAAAATTATAAACAAAAAATCTTTTTGTCTATATTTCAATCTATTTAAAATCTTTCGAAATGCAACATAACAAAAACTAAATTTATAATCAGTGGTTGATTATCTCACAAAGTTATTAGTGTTTTTAAGGATGTTAAATTTTTTTTCTCTTACCGCTTTTTTCTCTTTACCGCTACCGCAGGTTAATCCAGAGAACCGTTTAAGCGGGAGTCTACTGTAAATATATTTCTTGTGATATACAATGTATTATTTATAATGAATGTATTAGTTCATGGTAAATTTATTGGATATGTAATTTATGTTAAGGATGTACAAAAATAATCTGTAATCATCCGCATGAGTTGTTATAATTTATTAGTCTTTTGGGAAATACTTGACTCTATCTTATTATTAAATTTAGTTTTTGAAGTAACTTACCATTTTAAGAACTCTGGTTGAAAGTTTAAATAAAACTTTTCTTATAGGAATTTAACTTGGACATGGATTTCTCAAAAACAAAAAAGAAAAAGAAAAAAAAGAAAGATATTGATGAGTTAGTTGCAGATGAAGAAAAAGAAAAAGGAGATGAAAAAGACCTTGGTATTTTTTTTTTTTTTTAATATTCTTTGCCTTATTAATATTTTTTTGTTAAAGTTTTCGTTACTAATATTCTTATAAAGTTTTTTATATTATTTTAAACTTAAATAACATTCTTTCCCCAACTCATTGTTAAAACTTATAATTTTTTGTATTTCAAAAATATAGTTTGTTACTAGTTTCATGAATCACCTTACTCCCATTCACTAAGATAACCTACATTTGTTAAGTTTATTTAACAAAAAGGGCTAGTATCACTGCAAAACCACTATATACAGTAAACCCCGCTCATATCTTTAGAATGCCTTCGGGCAGTAAAAGTGATGTAGTCCAAAGTATACAGCTGAGTTTCTGTTTTTTTTTTTTTTCCACCTCTTAGTATTAGGTCTATAAAACTGATATTAGATTAATATTTTTTTTCGATTTAATTTTAATCTTGACCTCCATTATATTAACCTACTTTCTTTCTTTCTTCTTTTCTTTGTTTTTATGTGGCATCATACATAGAGGCCTAATCAGCTCTATTGTGCTCCAGCTACCAACCTATTAAATATGAAATTCATTAATATGCATGCAGCTCCTTAGCTTTAAATATATTTAGATTGTGCTCATGAATTTGAAGTTGTTTCAAGATTCACATAAATAGTACTTATGTAATTGGATTTCTTTTTAAAGTAGCGTTATCTAGGCTTGATTACTTATAATATTTGTTTGTTTATGCTTAACTGAAATTGAGAGGAAACGGGAGCCTGGTAAGGATTTTTTTTTAAGTGTAGAACCACTGCTAATCTGATTACACTAATTTTAAGATATTCCAATCCTCATAAGATAAAAATAATTCGTAACAATTAGGTTTTTCCGCATATTATTTGTAATGATAATTCATGTTCTGTAAATAAATGTTCTTAATAACACATTAATGGTATAAATTACAAAATTTCATGGACTAAAATGCTTAATCTATTGCAATCAATTCTTTGCGATCTTGCGAGTACTAAGTGTATTAATGATATGTGAGCATGTTCTTATATAGATGGAGTTAGTACTAATATAAATAATTATATTGCTTTGATTTATCATTACTAGGCATTGGATTTATATAATAAAATAAAATATGAAGATAAGTAATAATAATCCTGATAATAGATTTTTTTTTTTTTAAAGTCTTAATTCTTAAAAATAAAAAATCTAAAAAGTTTTTCATTGATAAAATAATTCCCACTAATTTAGTCTGTCTTCTTAGTAGTCACTTATTCTTTTAAAAAATTGTTTTCACTTAAAATTAATATTTTAATAAACATTTCTTTTTGCCTTCTAACAGTATTTTCAAAAATGTAATGAAAAAAAAAGAGTTATCACTTTTTGTTAGTAGATGTCTCAATTAAGAAAAAAAATATTCAGAAAACTTGAAAAACAAACAAACAAAAATTGACATCAATTTTAACTGTATTTTAATAACCTAACTTAATATTTTAAAAATATCCAATTTTATTTTATATTTAATCAATGAATTCTTTTTTAATAGAAAACGAGAGCCAGAAATGGTTCGGCACTGACAGGGATTACACTTATGAAGAGCTGTTAACCAGGGTCTTCGATATTATGAGAGACAAAAATCCTGAAATGGTAGCTGGGAAAAAGGCTAAATTTGTTATGCGACCTCCTCAGGTTGTTAGGATTGGTACTAAAAAAACCTCTTTTGCAAACTTTGCAGATATATGTAGAACGTAAGTATTTTCAATCGTAAGTTTATTGTTTAAGATTATAATGTGAGCTGGAGCTGGGCACTAAGAGTTAAATATGTCTTTTATTACAATTACAATAAATTAATTAATTATTATTACATATCACTACTATGAATGCAAAAGGTCGGTCATATGTAAAAATGGACTTTTGTTAAAAACCGATTATTTCTTTGTGATTTATTAAGGTACTATTTTGCTGGTGCGGCCCATGACAGGGACCGCAATTCCACGCTACCAACCGCTCTTGCATAGCTATTTCGCTGAAACTGCTCACAGGGGTTTTTATAACCTTCGAACATTTCGTTCTATCTTCGAAGATAAAAAAATAGACTTACTATCTCTTACTACCACTTTTTTTATTCTTTTATATTTTATATTGTTATTATTTTATTTATTTAATATCATTTGGATTCAGGTATATTTGAATTTCGTTGTAAAATACTGTTGGTGGAATAAATAAATTAATAATCTTGTTACTTCAACCTTAAAAAAATAATTTACTATTGCGTTGTTAAAGTATTAAACAATATTTCTTATAATTTTGCCAGAATTGAAAAAAATATAGGAAATAAAATGTATCAACGCGACTGTTATCATCAAAACAATGCTCTGATATGATAACATAACCTACAACCGCCAAAATCTCCACTGTTTCAGGAGCGGTCAGTTAGGAGTAGCTTAGATATGACGTCATACCTAGACTGCTGAGCAGCGCCAGCGAAATAGGTTCTTTTCTATTACACTAAAGCAGTGGTCAACTGCTGTAGTGGGCAGTGCCAGCGAAATAGTACCTTTAGACTTTTTGCACTAACAGTAGCAATATAATTCAAGCATCAGATATTTAATTCCTAGCCCCGGTTTTTTGTCTTTCTTCATTCATTTTAATTGGGTATGTAGCCTTTTTTAGTGCTATGTCATTGCAGTTATCGATTAAAATTCCTTAATTACTTTTATTTTAATTACTTTTTGCCCACCACTGATGTGTGTGTGTTATTCTAGGTTTGTGTTTGCTTAGTCGGTGAAACTATAAATCACCAGTTTTAATGTGAATCTGCATAATAAAAAAGCTTAGATTTTATATTTGCCTAAATTTTACAATCAATGATTAATTGTTAACCTTTTCTACTCGATGCTACATTACTTGCTAATATATTGAGTGATATGTTGTTGATTTAAATCTCAGTATGATGAAATTTTAAATTTTTTTTTTTTTTTTTTGTGAAAGTTTAGTTAGCTGAAGTCACATTAGTTGTTTTACATTGAAACGCAGTGCTTGCTTGAACCGGCTGCCTTTAAGTTGATTAAGTATTTCTTTGGTTAGTTTGATTAGTTGCTTTGTTTGAATAGCAGTTCCACATTAAAGCATGGTAAACTGGAAAGGTATTTGTGTATTTAACTGTCAGCTTTAATGTAAATCTGTATAATTAAATTTCTCTTTAATATTTGTTAAAGGTTACATAGAGTCCCAAAACATCTCTTAGATTTTTTATTATCTGAATTGGGAACCAGTGGATCTGTTGATATAAATAATCAACTGATTATTAAAGGAAGATTTCAGCAAAAACAAATAGAAAATGTTTTACGAAGATACATAAAAGAGTACGTAACATGTCATACATGTCGATCACCTGATACTATCCTTCAAAAGGATACTCGACTATTCTTTCTACAGTGCGAGACATGTGGTTCTAGGTGCTCTGTAGCCAGTATCAAATCTGGGTTTCAGGTATTTCAATTTTTTATATGTTTAATTATAAAGAAAAATTTATTTCTTAAACTATTTTTGTTTGATAATGAGTGAGGTCGATACCCATAGGAAAATACTTCTATAGTTTTAAATTTAATCTGTCGTTATAGAAATAAAGGCATACCAAAAAAAAAATATATTTTATATAAATTATAATTAAAAATTATTTTCCTAAGTTACTTATTCAGTTAAATATTTTATTATTAAACGTTAATGTAGTTATTTGTCAGTTAAATATTTTATTATTAAACGTTAATGTAGTTATTTGTCAGTTAAATTTAGTGATTATATGGATTAATTATTAATTTTGTAGTCACAATAGCTAAATGTTTTGGGTTTGTATTTTTGCACCTGAAGCAGGTGTTAGTTTATCTGGCTGTTAAAATAACCGTTTCTTCCTTACCTTTGCTAAATATAATTTCATATTCATATAAATAAAGGAAATTATATTTTGCAAATATATATATATATATATATATATATATATATATATATATATATATATATATATATATATATATATTATGACAAATCACATAATAAATTTAAAGTGTACAATGCTATGATGAATACTGACCACCCCCTGAGAAAGAAGTATTGGAAGATTTAAGAGGAAAATCCTCCATACAATAACCGGAACAGTCTAGAATCAGAGTACCTAGTGCATGGAGGAGAAGGATCTATATAGAACTGCTTGGAGAATCTATATCTCGTAATATGAATGCAAGGAGATTAAGATGTGCCAGTGCATGTAGCTTAAAGCAATCCATCAGGAAAACTACACAACAATGGATGCCTCAATAATTGGTATTAAACCATGTAGAAGGCCAAAAATCAGATAGTTAAATCGAATTAACTGAGATACTGCAAAGGTGCAAGATAGCCAGAGGCGTGTGTGTGTGTGTATATATATATATAGGCACACACACATTTCATTTTTATTTTCTAAAATAATTTTTAGTAAGCATAAGTTTATAGTTTTATTCTTTTTGTTTATTATTTAATTTATTTTTATTTTTTCAGGCTGTCACTGGCAAACGTGCTGCCATCAGAGCAAAAACAACCTGAAGCTGTCTTGAAACAAGATCTCTCACTCAGGCTGGTTATTTTGTTAAATTTATACTGAAATGTGCATTAGATATTCGTCTTTTTTCATTAATATACGTGTATTATAATATATTAAGCAATTATATAGTAAATAAATTGTTTACATCCGAATATATATAAATTTGTTATGCTTCCTTATTATTCTGTTATAATATATACTCAATGGTTTTCCATGAAATAATACCACAAAATGCATCTAATTACTGCAAATATTAAATGGAAATTCTAGGGTTCTTTCATAATAAAGTACAGACTAATGTCACTAGTTTTGTAGTATGTACTCGGTACTATTTTGTTCCTAAAAACAAATTACAAAATACAAGTTGTGAAATTGAAAATACAAGCAACGGAATACCACTGTCATGGCTAGTTCATCTGTGGAAGCAAGGTTAACTATACAAAGTTCCTGATAAGTATGAAAACTACTGATAAAGAAATGGTAAAAAGTTATTATTTCAAAGGCAGCTTAGTGTTTAAGGTGTTTTTATAACCTTAATTACAAAAATGAAATTTTTCATTATGAAATCACTAATTACTATCTATGTTACTCTTATATTTTTAGTTTGGTTTTGTTTCCTATTTGTAATGAAACTGAAGTGACATAAAAATTAATGAATAAAAATTATGTGTTGTATTTCATTATAGTGAACAAAAGTGTCTTTTGGATGGAATTATATTATTATTATAATAAGAATAGGCCGTCCATGGAAAAAGATAAATGTCTTAAAGATAAACAGTCCAGAGGAAAAGATAGTGGATGAACCAATGAAAATTCAGCTACTGCAAGATGACAGTAGTAGATAAATGTACCAAAGAAAATTAAATCAAAGCTTAGATGAAACATTTGAAGGGAATTCTACACAGATCGATGAATACCTGAAACAAATACTGCTGAAGTATTAGGGCCAAAAAAAAGATGGGTGTAGGCAGAGTAACAAATGGATGATTAGTAACCTTTTGGAATTGATAAAAAAAGAAGCATATCTCTTTTGGTTAAGTAACAAAAATGATAACACTGTCTATTTATAAAGATATTAAAAAAGAAGTAAGGATCGCTCAAAATGAAGAATGGAACAGACCACAAATATTAACAGCCAAATAGAATATAAAAGGTCAACAAGTGGGGCATGGGCATGGGCGACGCTGAAGAGTATGAGGAGTCAGGCAACACACAAGTCAAACCTTAATTTGATCAATATACTCGAATGGAAAACTATTTTAATGGTCTCATGAATGAAGACGGAGACTCATTCAGAGAAGAGTCCAGCTGGGTGTATGAAGGGACAGATGAGGATCAGGTTGAAAAGGAACTCAAGTTAGGAAAGACTAATAAAGCACCAGGGCCAGGTGGAATTAATTTTGAGATTTTAAAATATGGAGAGAAAAAGGGACAAAACTATTAACTTAACAACTATAATAGAATATTGGGTCGTGACCCAATACCATAAGAAATGAAGCTCAGTTACATCAGCCCAATCTATAAAAAATGGGACAGAAAAAAATGCAAAAACTACAGAGGAATTACTGTGTTAATTAATCCTTTTGTCAAAATATTAGGGAAACGAATTACAACATTAGTTCAGAAGACCAATGTGGATTTAAAGCAGGAAGATGATGCATGGACTATATATTGACGCTGAGACAATTGTTGGAGAAACGTCAAGCTGTTTCCAGAGACATTGAACTAATATTTATTGACCTGGAGAAAACATATGACAGTGTCCCTAAAGACTATTAGGGCAAGCCCTCCAAAATGCAAACATTGATGTAGGTCTGATAGAAATAACAAAGGAAATGCCTGCCAGTTCATAAGAATAAGCAAAGAATTGCTCCCGGGATGTTATGCTTCTCCTCTGTTCAAGATTTATCTTGACATTTGTTTGAAAGCATGGAGAATAAAATGCGAGTCCATGGGGATTCAGTTGAAAGAAAATGTGTTCCTACATAACCTATCCTTCACTGATGACCTGATCATCATTGCACAGCATGCCGAAGATGCTGGATATATGTTAAGAAAATTAAATGAGGAATACCAGCAGTGGAAACTAGTTATTAATGCAGAGAAAACGGATCACATGACATTCAATAATGAGGATATAGAACTAAATCTAGGAGGGGTTCTAAAAGGAGTTAAACATTTTAAATATCTCTGTTCCATAATTGAAATAGATGGTGCATGTGATGTGTAAATAAAAAGAAAAATTTCAGATGGCAAAAAGACCATCTCAATGCTTAACTCTGTATTATGGAACTATGACATTATCGCTAAAACAAAAAAAAATATATATATCTATAATAGTATAGTACTGAGCATTATGACATATGGGTCAGAAACTTGGATCTTAAAAAGCAACCTCAGAAATAAACTCCTAGTCACAGAAATGGAATACTGGAGACGAGCGGCAGGAATATCCAGAATGGATAGTGAGAAATACGACCATCAGAGATAAGATGAAGGCTAGGAGGACATTTGAAAAGAATGCCTGGAGGAAGTCTATCCAAAGAAGTCCACTTATGGAAAACTAGGGGAAGAAGAAGACGAGAAAGACCTGGGATAATGAAGTGGAGAAATCTATAATGGGTCATGATCTACAGGAAGAATGGACCTTAGATAGGACATAATGGAAAGAAGCCAACCAAGCACGCCAGGTTAAGGAAACCCACTATTAGTGGAAATTCCCAAAAAGAAAAATTAATGGTTTACTGACAAAAGATTTCCATCCAACCAAGAAATATGAATAACATTTGTTGATTCTCATTTCTTTTTCCATATATGAAGTCTTTTCTAATATGGAAAATTGATAATTATGTTGAGATATGTATATATATTTTTTTAAAATAGTATATTATTATTTTGCAGGTTATAAAATGTATTGCTTGAACTAGTATTATGTTTTAATTAACCAAGGTATCATATGGTGCTAACCAAATAGAAAAGTTTAATTTGAATTTGCTCTAAATATTTTCATAAATAACTTTGAGTTCAGAAGTTATTCTTTTGAAAGTAACTAGACAGACCAATCCAAACGTTGACGGATAAGTTTGGAGTAGAACCTATGAGTGAGGCGGAATTAGCCGCTGCTATGAATGCACCCCAATGAATCAACCCAATCCGAGGCTGGTTTTATGGACTGCAATGACAATTCTCAGCGCACGAACAATGAAAGTGGTGCCTGGGAATTGGTAACGGGCAGAAAAAGAAACATCGTTGAAGACAGGAACCCAAGAAAACAGAAAAGGTCCGAATCTGAGGTAACTATCAGTAAAAGTTCCAAGTCCTTACTGATAATAATGAACAATGCCAAACTCCACCTACTAATGTTATATCTAACAACACCTCAAATCTTCATCAGAGGCGTAGAAAACTATGCTGGGTTAGTCTGTTATCTGCAAGCAAACATAGACCCAAACTCATTTCTGCCAAGATCAACATCCAAGGGAGTGACTGTTTACCCTGAGACCCCAAACAACTACCGAAAACTAGTTAGTTGTCTAAGAAACAGCGGTGCGGAATTTCATACCTATTAACTCTCTGAATATAGAAATCCTAGAGTTGTAGTTAAAGACTTACACGACAACACCCCAATGGAACAGATCAAAAGAGACTTGGAAAATTACGGATACCAGGTCTTTGTTATTACTAATGTAATATCTAGATTCAAGCGGTCATTGTTTTTCGTTGAAATAAAAAAGTCCACGTATAATGATAAAATTTTTGAAATTAACAAAATATTTTACACTAAGGTTACGATAGAGGAACCTCGAAAGAAGAAAATTATCCCACAATGCGTTAGGTGCCAACAGTACGCCCAACACGATACAACAAAACATTGGGGACCCCGGCAAAATGCGTAAATTGCCTAGGCGAGTATCCAGCTAACTACTGTGGGTGCCAAACTCTTCAAGATTTAAGAGTGCAGAAGACTAAGAGACATCATATTCACCAGAGGTCATCTCCTCCTTCAGATAACCTTCAAAATTTACTGAGTCTTCCACAACCTTCTAGAGATGTACATCAAGTACAGAAGCAGAAGCTTTCTCAGCAGCAATTCCCAACGCAGCAGCAGCATTGCCAACATAGCATTGCACAGCCGCAACCAAGAGCTCAGAAACAGTACCGCCAAACATTCAACCTTCGGCAGCCATGATGAACAACCACTCCTCCGACCTCATGCCTGAAATTTTGAGGTAGGGAGTAATTAAGGTAAATTGACAATTTGGAATTAATAGGTTTTTCCACTTCAGCAATCATCCATGCCTCTAAGTGCATCGATCTCACAGAGTGGCGCAATCGGTCCAGTAGCCGGTAAGTGTGTCGGAGCACCTGCCAAAAAGACTATCTGGTGCTCTGCGCAAACCTGGGTGCACATCTGCACCTCGAGTGCGGCTTTGAAGCGGGAGACGCTGGGCCAGATCCAGCTGAAAATATCCTGTGGTAGTGGCGATAGTTGCCACTAAAGTCCGCATGTGGTGGACGAGGCGCTGCAGACAGGACAGATTTGTCTGTAGTGTCCACCGCTAAAACCATGGGAGTCATGGTCGGGTTTTATAATACGACATGGTTGCCATACATTTTTTTTAGTTGTTCTTGAGATGTGGTGAGGTGTAGATGGTGCTCCATATTACTTCGCATTTTACATGGTATATTTTAACTTTTTTTTTTTTAATATTTTTGGTTTGTTGGATTTATTTAGAGTTTTTGTTTCTAATTTGAGTTAGGAGGGGAGTTAGGGTGTGTAAATTTTTGTTATTCTCGGCTGGAATTTTTTTTTTTTAAGATTTTTTTATGTTTAGTGAGCCTGGGGTGTAAGACGGACTCTAGCTTGGTCTGGTTTGTATAGATGTAATGGGGAAAGACTTATAAGGAGTTTAGCTTCGGAAGTGGGGAGAAATTAAAGAGTTTTTTATTTTTTATGGTAGAAGAAAGAATGACTTTTGAAATTTTTGGGGGAAATTATATCAGGAGTGAAAAGTGTTAGATAATTGTTAGTGTGGAATAAAAAGGGTGGGAAAATAAAAAGAGAATAAGCGACTCTGTATCGCCACGTGGTCCGGCCATTGGACGGTGAACTGAGTGGACTTAGGAGTAGGAAGGTGGTATTGAATCCG